AACTATCACTAAGTGTTTTGACCAATTCTTACTAACTAAAGCCCCTACTCCTGACCCTTTTAATTTATCTACTTTTTTTGTTAACCAAAAGCTTAAATACCCAAATTCTTCTACGTCTATTCATCCATCCTCTTTCTCGTTTATATTAGTTTAAACTATTTATATTATGAAACTCTAAACTAAGCTGTCTGTAGCTATTACTCTTCATTTTCCATTTGGGTTCTTACATTGTTCTTGTGTTTTGGGCTCTTTTAAGACAGAAGTGAAGATTTTTGCCATGCCTATATCACTTGATTCGCCCATAGTGCCTTTCAAAAGTATATTGCAATTATTTGCTCTATTGCTTTAAACTTGTGTCTTATTTCTGCAAGGATTTCCTCTAACTCATTTGCTTCTTGCCTTTCAGTTTTCTTTCCTTTTCGATCAGTGATTGGAAATCTATTTGATCCTTTTGCAAATTCTGATTTCTGAGGTAAATCTATATTATCTATATTGGAGAGGGGCTTTCTAGTATCACTTCTGGCTTGTATACTACTTCTTTTGCTATTTGTAAAAGCAGTATTATGGTTTTCTTTGTTACTATCATAAGTTGGTTTATTTGTTTTGTAAAGAACCCTTGTATAGTTGTCTTTGTTGATTAAATTCTGTTTTTTCTGTGGCTTTATTTCATATGCTACTACTTTTCTTTTGCTAGAGCATATTGTTTTCTTTTCACTATGACGATATGTGTAAGTGAAACTTCTATTTACAGGATCTTCAGAGTAAGAGTGCCACTCTAGTTTGGTGTTAAAGTAATATATATTTGTTCTTTGGGCTTCCAATTTGTCCTGTTCAGACTTGAAATATATATATGCTCTTCTAGCCCGGTTGCTATTACTATTTTTAAGGATATAAACAGCTTGTACTTTGTGTTTTTAAGTTAACAGAGGAGAAGACTGTCTACTGCTCTTGTAGGGATATTGCATATTGTGAATCTAAAGATATTTCTGCTTTCTAGTTCTGAAATATCAAATTTACCTAAAGTCATTCTATATGTTTTTCTGTTATCTAAAGTAATTGACCAATACTCTTTAAGTGAGATTTCATGTTTTTCTGTTTTGGTTAAAATTTGAATATATACTGCTTTTGTTGTAAAATTTAGTTGCTACCCAATAATATTAGCTTCTCCAAAATATTCTAGGTATTTTTTAATTTCATATCCACTCATTTCTTTTGAAAGATCCTATATTATAAATAGATATAGTATCTTCTTCGAGTTGTTTTGTAAGGAAGAATGTGCTTTCGGTGCCCATATTGAGCTATATATATTTTTGTTTAAAATATTACATTCATTGGCTTTGCTGCTTGATACCCAGGTTGAGTTGAAGATATTTTTGTACTTTTTGGCTTTTTTGGTGCTTTTATTTATTATCTGCTCATTAACAAAAGCATTGTTTTTTTCAAGAGATTCTAAAATCCCATAATCTAATGTATCAAGTTCTTCATTCACCAATATATATTTTTTTGTTTCTGTTGTAGTTTCAGCAAAGTCAATTGTGATTTCCTGCTCTGTGTAATTTCTTTTCCGGGTGTTAGTTTGTTTATCAATCTGCATGTTGTTCTCTATAGTTTCTAATGTAGCTTCTTCTATAATCTCCATGTTGTGATAATTTTCTTTTGGAACATGAGACTATAACAAAACAGGGTTTTCTCCAGAAAGTTGAACTTTGGTATTATTGTTGCTATGTTTTATTTTATTCATATTATTTACTTGTATATTGTTGTCTACCCAAAGTTCAAGCAGGATTTTCCCTCTTTTTTTAATTCTTGTTCACTCGCTTTTTTATATTGGGCCTACTTGTAATAATGAAGAACATTACAAATAATTGTAATGAGGTAGATCTCACTAGTATCTAAATAGCTTGCAACTACTTTATCCTCTTCCCAAATGAAACTGTTTTGTTTTTCTTGTATTGATGCTCTTTCTTTTTCTGATTTGTTAAAAAAAATTTTGTAATTTGGAAGTTCTAATATTTTATGTGTTTTGTTTATTCGTTTTAGTTTCACTATGTGTTTGTTTGTTGTTTTAATGTTGATTTAATGTCTAATTGTTGTTCTACCTAAATTGGGAGATGGCTAAAGCCAGGTGTGTTTATATGTTTTTGATTATTTAATTAAAATTAGGGTAAGGGTTAGTTAGAGGTTAGGGTTGGAGAAGTTCTTATAGGTAAAATTGTCCTCCTGACATTTTTTATTAATGCTTCAAGACAGGTTTAGATACTCGTTTCTTGTATTTTCGATGTTTTTCACTTTTTTTCTTTGTTTTTGTCTCATTGGGCCGATCCGGGTTGATCAAATTTTATATTTTGATTGGCTGTTAGTCACGTAAACGCACCTGGCTTTAGACGGTTCCCTAAATTGGCTATCTATTTACTCCTTATGTGTTTTGTTTATTTGTTGTGTTATTAATTTGCAAAAAATATGCAAGCCAAATCCCCAGAAATTTTTAAAATTTTTTAAAAAATTTGTCAAAGTTTAAATTTTTTCTATGCACTGCAAGAAGAATACTATTTGTAACTAAACTGTTTTAGTAAACTAAAGTTAATTTTTCTTGCTCAGTCTTTTTTCTTAAGAGTACTTTGGGTGTTTTCTTAGTAGAATTTTGTTCTAGTAGTCAAAGTTCCTTAGCTTCAGTTTTGGTCAGAGTGATCGTCGGGAAGTGTGTATAATGTTTGCAAAATAATCTTGTCTTAAATATTAAAAAAAAAATAACTTTAAAATAATTTATTAAAGTCTAGACATAGATCTTCAAATATGTATATTTTCTTAACAATGTTTAACAAATAATTATATAAAACTTTAAATTTTTTTTAACAATATAAATTGTAACCCAGCCTTTTATTACAATATATAAATATTACAAACCAAATATAAAAATAAACAATTATAGTAAATTTATAAAATTAAACTAATATTTAGTTATTAAATCTAAGTATTTTAGTTTTTGAAATTAAATTTTAGTTTTCAGATGACATGTAAATATATTTATTATAAAATATATCTATGCAGATTATTAGAGTTCTTTCTGTTTTTCTCTTTTTAAATTTTTGTTTTTTGATTTTCTCTTTCTTTTCTCTTTTAAAATAATATTATTTTGTTTTTCCATACTACAACTAGATAATATATCTTTTGGGATTTATAATTTAGTACAGGGTGCACTGCAGTGCACTTCTTCAAATCTAATAATAAGATTAGTTAGAATTAGGGTTAGGGTTAAAGTTAGGGTTAGAATTTAGGTTAGAGTTAGGTAAAATTGCAAGAGGAGCATTTTTACTTAGTTACATAACAGGGGTTACTCTAGTAAAATTTTGAGATTTAGCAAATTTTAAGTAAAGTTACGATTAGTTAGGGTTAGAGTTAGGTAAAATTGTATAATGATTATTTTTTGTTAGTCACACAACAGGGTTACCCTAGTAAAATTTTGAGATACAGCTAGGGTGCACTGCAATACACGTGAACATATTTTTAATACCCTATCTTTTTTATATAAAGTTATAAAACCTATTTTATCAAATCTTTCTTAATTTGTAATATAAATAAATTTGGCTACATATTAAAATTTTAATTTTTTTAATAAAATCTTAAATATTAGTTTTGAAATATATTTTCTAAGTAAAATATTTAATTTTAATTCTATTTTATTAACTTTATTAAAAAAGTTTTTTAAAATTATTGTGAAAAATTATGGTAAATATCAGATTATAGTAAATATTTTGGTCAAATTTATAATTTTTTCTTTAAGTTAGCTAGTCTGAATTAACTTTATAAAAAAAACTTGTTGATGAAATAAGCTTTAGTGAAATAAACTATCAGTAAAATGAACTTATCAATGAATAATTGTTTACGAAATGTGGCATCTATAAAGCGATTGTTAGCAAAACAATATGGACCTCTATATTAGAGTTAGGGCTTGAGTTTTTTATTTTATATAAGATATTCTAAATTTAATTTATTTATAATATTTACCATAATTTGATAATATTTATCATGATTTCCAACAATTATTAAAAAACTTAAGTGTAATAAAAGTTGAAGTTCTTGTATTAAAATTTTTACTATAAAATATTTTTTTAGATTTTTTTAAATTTTATATGTTTTTACTTATAAAAAAATCTTTACTTCTAAGTAAAAACTGATTTTTATTAGTAAATTATTAAAAGTGCAATAATAAAAGTTGTAATTCTTAGTATTAACTTTAATATTATTTTAAGAACTATATATTTAAAGTTGATATTTAAAGCTTATTAAAAATTTGTAAATAATTTTTTGATTAAAATTTTTTTCTAAACTTATTTAGTTTTGAATTTTACTAAAACGCACCTATGATGTTTTTACACCATAGGTTTCGTTTTTCAAAAATGTACTAAGTAAACAGGATCGGTTCTCTAAGTAAAAATGTTCAGAACTCCCAAAAACTTTACAAAAACTAAGATTGGGCCCTTCGGGCCCTTATAGTAGCTCTATAATATATTATATAAAAAAAAATAATTTTTAATTTCCTAACTTCAACCCTAAATTTTATTAAAAGAAATTATACATAGGCGTAAAAACACTATAGGTGCATTTTATAATAATTCTTATTTTTAGCTTATAAACAATCTAAAAATTTTTTATATTATAAAAACCAATTTTGCAAAAATGTAATCCTTATTTTAAATACAAAGTTTTATTAAATATTTTAGCATTTTAAAAAAGTAAATTAAAGCTAAAATGATGCAAAAACACAAATAAATTTGCCTGTATTGGTTTACATATTAGGAAATAAACTAGAATTTTAATGCATAGCTTTAATTCTTTGCCTGAGCCCAAGAATTTGCTAAAGTTGCTATATGTATTTTTTGTGTAGAAGCCTTTTATATAGTTTTTCTTTGCTTCTATTTTTTTCTGTTCTATTTTTTTTATAAGCATCTCTCTAAACTTTATTTGGCTTAGTTTTTTATATATTTCATCTGAAAATTTGACTACATTATCTCTGTTGCAACTACTTCAATATTATCCCAATCAAATTTGTATGCTTCACATCCAAATAAGTAATCAGATGACTTTTCAGCTCCTACATTACAACTAATACAAGCTTCTTCTTTATATGCTTCTGGTTTTCTTTTTTTCAAATTGTTCAAGACTAGCAGTTTAGGGAAATGTCATTTATCATCTGATTTTTTTAGCAAGGGGGTGGGTGCCAAAATATCAAGCTAATAGGTCATATGTATATTTATATATATAATCGTAATTATTTGAAAGAGGGGGAAATTTTACTATTTACAAAATATCAGATGATAAATAACACTTCTCTTATCTAAAAGATACTTAAACCAAATGTTTACTCTTTCTAGTGATGTGCATCTTACACCTGTAAGATTATGAAGGTGTGACCAGAATATTTGCCACATCATGTTTTCTTTTTTCTGCTTGTATTAAAGAAGTTCTCTAACTTTTGCATTGCCTTGAACATTGACCACCTTGCACTAGTTTTTGCTCTAAAAACATTTTGAAGAAATGATCTTGTATTCAACTTGGCAGTATACTGTTTCTATTTTAACTGACATGTTAGCCAGAGTTATTTTCTGCTACAGAGCCTATGTAAGTTTCTTGTTGTTTGATTTAAAACTGTTTTTTAAATGATTTAATACATTCGACGAAACCATAATACATAACAATGAGATAGTAATTATTTTTTTAATTAATTCGTCAAAATACAATTTCATTGTTATCTCTTTTTAAAATATAAAATTATATACAATCATGCTTCATGGAAGACCTCTATTAAAAGAAATTTGCTTGAAGTTTACAAAAGTTACGGAAACTACACCTCGCCAAAAGTGTAACTACTATGAAGAGGACTTTTGGATTTAGTCGCTTGATTAAAGGATCACTTATATAGATGCAAGAAGTATGAAAAAATTTATTAAATAATGAATGAGTAAAAAAATTGATGCAGACTATCAGAATTTAGGAATTAAAAAAAGAATTGAATTGAGATAATTAAATTTATAGTTATGCATTAAATTAAAAGGCATACAAAAAATATATATATATATATATATATATAAATAGTTAAGCAATTGCGCATTTCTTGTAATTATATAATAACGAAATTTTATAAAATGAATATTTTTATATTTTTTCTTTAAAAGTTATTTCTATGAAATTTGGTGAACCGGCATTTTAGCACTAAATTTTAAATTTTAGTCTCAACGCCAATAGTTTAAAAGGTTTTTTAAAAAGTTTTAAACCAACTAAAAAACTGTTTAAGCCATTTTTTTTCCATTCCTATAAATACCTTTTACTAAAAATTTGCAATCTAAAATTATCAATCAATCAGACCGGCAAAAAAAATCCAAAAGATCCGAAAACATTATGAAACTCATTGAAGATCTCATAAATATTAAAATAATTACATATCTATATTTTTTCTTTTTAATACAGTAATACTCGCATGAACACTTACATGAATATGTAAGTAGCATACTATATAAAAAAAAACTACGTAACTAAAAATTTCCATTTGAGGTATTTCATGATAATTTAATACGAGAATTTATTGATCTTAATATTCAAAATAAGTTATTCATGTTCATGAATATTTACTATTATAAAAGAATTTAATGGGAATTGACATAAATGATGCAACAGGGGCGCCCACTTCGTTTGTATTAAAATTAATTGGTACCGATTAGGATATAACGTACTTTATTTTACAATTTTAAAGCTTCATACGTACAGTACATCAATTTTTAATTCATAGCTGAAATTTGAAAGTGATTTCTAAGAGGATACGTAGTTATAAACAAGCTTATATAAAACCTAAGAAATCTAATCTCTATGCAGTATTAACAGCTATTTATAAGCTCAAAATTTCTTAATATTATATGTAGTGTTCCAAATCGAAAATCGATTAATCAAGTTGGCAAACTAATCTATCTATAGATAATTTTATTAGACAACCCTCGATTGTCGACATTAATAAATTAACTGATTAATCGATTAATTAACTAAGATTGATTACATTTTTAGATCCGATTTGTAACGCTAAGATAAACATGAGTGGCAAAGGGATATGGTTGTGCAGTAGACGAAGATCAGGCGGAATGATTGAATTATAGTTGTGCAGGGGCAATAAAGTTAAAAAATTTTAAGTAAATTTTAAGATGTTTTCAGGTATGGGATAACAACGGTTATTCTAGCCTTAAATTGCGGTTTTAGTTCTTCCACATCATAAATCTTTCTCATATACATTATTGCCTTCCCAGTTAATAATTAATTCATTTTAATATAACTATTACCTTGATAAACCTCAGTTTCAATAAAGCAATGATTTTTTATTTATACATTATATATTTTTTTACTACAATTGTTCAAGTTTTCCCATATGTTCCAGAATATAAATGTCCAGGAGAAGATACTCTTCGAAAATGTCTCGATCACTACATTAAAGGTTCTATTAATTATCGTAAAGATTTTGCTTATAAAAATGATCTTTTATTAGAATATAATGAGAGGATAGTTCATTTTCCGGTGGCATTTGTTCATCCATTAGATGTATTTGATGTTCAAACTGCTATAAAATGTGGAGCAAAATCAAAATTCACCGTTATCGCAAGATCAGGCGGTCATTCTTATGAAAGCTATAGTATTGGTGATAGAGATTGTATTTTAATTGTTGATCTTAGATACATGAATAGGATTATTGTGGATGTAACTACGCAAACCGCTATAGTTGAAACAGGAAATACTCTAGATACCTTATATTACAGCTTGAATAAACATGTATTTGTTTTTCCAAGTGGTGATTGTTCTACAATTGGTGTTGGTGGTATTATTTTGGGTGGTGTAAGTAAAGTATTGTTTGAAAATTTTATTATGTGTTTTCTTTTCACTATTAAGCTATAAGATTTTTTTTCAATAGGGCCAAGGATATCTCATGCGAAAATTTGGATTGTCAAGCGATAATATTCTTGACGCTCAAATTGTTTTGGCAAACGGAACGATAGTTAATCATGTTAAAGAATATCCTGATCTTTTCTGGGCTCTTAGAGGTGCAGGAAATGCAGGTTATGGCATTGTCACTACTTTAACTCTTAGGATCTATCCTATTCAGAAGATCGTAACTAGGATGATTTTGGATTATGATATTGATCAAGCTCAATTAGTATATTCAGTTATGAACAAATCGGGGAACAACTTTCATCAAAATTTAACTCTTGGAATCGATCATCAAATTAATGGCCCATTCAACATAAATGGGTATTATCTAGGTTCTTTAAATGAACTAAAACCTCAAATACAAGAGCTCATAAATTTGACTAAGCCTAAAAATGAATCATTTGCTGAAGGTGATTGGTATCATACAATAATTTTCAATACAAAAGGGATCAGAGGTTATTACAAAGTAAAGTCTTTTTTTATTTACTCACCAGGACTATCTGATGAAGGTGTTAAGTATTTAATAGAATTTAAGAAAACTTTCAAATGTACCCTTTTTATAAGAACATGGTTATTTGGTGAAAAAGTTAACGAGATTGGACGAAAAGAAACTGCATATGTTCACAGGGGATTTATGTGGGTGCTATTAATGCAAATAGAATTAGATAAGGATAACTATGAAATCTGCTCAAAAGATTTCGAAACTTTTTCTTTATTCTTTCAAAAAACATATACTAGTTCAGAAAGTTATCAAAATGTGATGGATAGAGAATTAGATAATTGGCAATGCAGATATTATGGAGAGAATTTTGGAAAGCTAGTAAAAATTAAACAGAAATACGATCCTAATAATTTATTTAATTGGAATCAAAGTATACCTACCAATACTGAAATTTCGTGTTATTAGTTAAAATTAGTTAGTTTTAATATTTTATAAAGTAAATCGCAAAATAATCAATATTTGAATTTTTTGATTTTTTCTAAGTTCTTAAATTAGGTATCTTTCAAGGTTCTATACAGTACACACAAATAAATTGTTTTATAGACTTTTATATTAGTAACTTGAGATACATAGTAACAGTAAAGTTGGATTAAAAAAATATGCTATAAAGTAATATAAGTTTGTTTAATATACGTGTCAACATTTCATAAAACGGACAAGGCATAAATTAGTGTGATTTATAGAGGTTGTAATTATAAAGGGGGTAATTATAAAGAGGTATGACTATAGTGTTTGAAATTTCGATTTTGAAATTTTGGTTTTAAAATTTTGCGTTTAAAATTAATTAAAATTAAAATTTTAAAATATTATAAAATAATTATTTTGAATAACAAATAAAAATATATTTTTAGCTTTAAATTTAATATGCTAACCTGGGTCCGTTGGGGCCTAGGTTAGCATATTAAATTTAAAGCAATTTTTTCTTTATAATATATAAATTTTATAAGCTTATCATAATTAAGGTTATTTAATATATACTATAATATCTACAGTATTAGGCCATACAAACTTATACTATTGGTTTTCATATCACCAAGTAACTTCTTGTGACCCGGCGACCCGGCTTTTAATTTTATTTTCAAAAAATTTTATATGTAAAAAACATATAAAATTTTTTTACAAAAATTTAAAAAAGCTCACCCGGATAATAAATATAGTAAAAAATTTTTTTCAAACTTTTGTTGAATTTGACCCGGCCGGGTTATGAGAACCAATAGTATAAGTTTGTGTGGCCTTATACAATTTATATTTAATATTAAAAATATAATTTAAAAACTAAGTATATAGTTAACAAAAATGAAGCCAGAGGCATTAGCCATAGCAAACAGCTATAGAGTAAACGAAGTGAGCTCTGTTGGTATTTCTGGGTGTAAGTGAAGCAATACAAGTTGTATTGTTTATAATAAAGTTGTTTATAGAGAATGTTTAATTGCGCATTGCTGTTAAAAGCTATTAAAAATTAATATACAGTAAGATTATGCATATCTCTTGTTGAATTCAAAAAATATGGCACTTTCAAAGCACATTCACTGGCAAATTATTGAAAAAAATTTAAAAGGCCTGTCAATTCGAAAAATTTCAAAACACTCAAGTGTTAGTGGGTCTTTTATTAGTCGGGTACTTGTGCACTTTCAAAGATATTGCTGTGCTGTATTGAAGCGCTTCTGTCGCTTTCAAGAAAACCACGTTCTCTAAATATGAACGATCTTTAAACTCTATGAACGAAAACTTTATTGTTACTTGTACGAATTGCAATCCGAGATGGGCTATTTGCTGACTTGAATATATACACAGAAAGGTAATTTTTCGCATATTTATAAATATTTTTTATTTTATAAATTTATACCAATTTTATATAGATTTCAAAACTCGCAAAAGAAATGATAGAAACAATTTGATTTTACGTATCTCTCAGTATACACCAAGTGAGTGAGTTTTTTTTTTTTTAGATTAAACTGCTTATGACAGAAGAATGCTATCACGACGCTATGGCTGGAATTTTTCAGAAATGCGTGCACAAAAAATACATTTTTTGTTCGAGGAAGACGATTAGGTGCATTGTATTGTGTTCAAGAAGGTTCCAATAATTCTATTGACTATGAAAATTTTATTGAACATGTTTTTGTAAGAATTTTATTAGTAAATATGATATTGGTATGTTTAATATCAATTAAATATGGGTGGTAATTTTTGAAATAGGACCAACGATATAATTAAATTTGCGACGTAGATATTATATATCAATATCAATATTAAAAATTGGACCTGATTCAAAAATATATTTTTATATACCGATACGATATGCCGAAATCAATAACTGAAAAATCATGCGGCTAAATTTTATCGGGTGTCCCAGGAATTATGAAAACAGTTGCCCGGTTTTAATTTTGTAATACGGGCGGTTATCAGAAGAAATTTTGGGTAGTTTTAGAGTTGTTAACTTACATGTAAGTTACGTGTATTTTACCAATGTAAGTTACATTGTAACTTACGTAAATTACTTGTAAGTTATGTAAGTTGATCAACATATGTTTGCGTCATGTAGAGATGTGAACCGTTTGTCGATCACGACCAGCATTACGGTTAATTTGGGCCGTGATCGGCAAACGGTTTGCATCTTAGCGTCATGTATCACCATTACAGTTGATATTAATGCTGGTAAAATTATCATGTGATTCGGCTAGCTTTAAAGCTGTTTTGTAACTTACATATAGGCCAGGTAAGCTACAGTAAGTTACATGTAAATTACGTTGTCAGTTATGGTTTAACAACCCTAGGCACAACATATGTATATACCGAATTCCTTTGAAAACGAACACTCTTCTCGTGTAACTTCTAGATCTGCATAATTTTGGCACCATTCGAATCACCTTAACAAATTGACACGGGTTGTACCAGAATTATACAGATTCAATCACCAAATCACGAAAATTTTAAAAATTACACGAGAGGGAGGGTTCTTATTTTCCGAGGAATACCGTAACTCAAATATATATTACGCACTTTCGAAAAATTTCAGATGTCTTATTCATTAACAATGATTATATCATGCGTATTAGTAATAAATTTTAAGAAATACATCAAATATATCACTTAAATGCATTTATCTTTAGCAACGCTTATGCTATTTTAATAGCAGGTTCTAATATTATTTACTCATAAATACCCAGTTAACTCAATACTTATTTTATTCTCGAATTATTTAAAATAAAATGATAATAAAAGTAAGTCCTTATAAAATAGTACTTACGTCGCTGATTCATATTAACATGAATAATTTGAACAATATGATAAAAAGTAAATTATAACAATTACTGTATATACTTGATCTCTCCTAATGTCTGGACGACCATATTACCAGGATATGTCAACGAAAGGCTAGCTAGCATAGCAATTGAAAGACATTACCTGAAACACTGAGATATTAAAGGAGAATGGAGAGCGATATATATAAAAAAGAAATATAAAAGCATATAATCATTGTGAACCTCCCAACACAAAATAAAACTAATACTAAACCTATAGATGTTAACATTCGAGTCTGTCCAGAAGTAAAACCTACCGTAAAAGATCATATATAAGATCCCCCATATATCAGACCCACTCGCACTTTTTACTAATTATTTTCTTTTTTTTACTAATTAATTTTTTTTGTGGAATGTAAGAGACCCGGGTCTTGTATATGAACTTTTATGGTAGCTAGCTAGGTATGCTAACAGTTGGACCTAGTCCAGAAATTAATCCTTGAGATATTAACAATTGAGTTTGAACCAGACTGGTCACATTTGTCCAGTTCTGATCCGATATATTATGGTTTATATTCTTAATTAATTTTTCAGTTCCAGGCCGATTCTGTGGTCTATTAATGTAAGACCAGACCATATAACACCTTTATATTAGAGTATTCAAACAACTATGGTTCATTTTAAACTAGTAACCACCCAGAATATGTAGAGGTATCTACCGAGAAGTTCTTTACGATGTTCCTAAGCTCAGGAACAACATCGTACTGGACAAGTAAACCTTAAAATTAGCGATAGATTTTTAGCTTTCGGCATTTTTGGAAATCAAGATGAAAGTTTAAGCGAGTGTCAAACCGGAAGTCAAAAAGTTTAATTAGTCATTATAATAAATTTACCTGCGATTAATGTTCTAAAGCCAGAAAAATATCTAATACATCTTTTCCTGGCAACGTCAATTATTATTACATGATAACGTCCATTAAATAAACGTTTAATAACGATCGCCAGCAGACTCCTTACATTAGCAATCTCTCTTCGTATCTAGAGTTTTGACTCGTAAACCACTTATCCGGATATTCGTTCAATTAGATGTTTCACGGATAACAACCGTTATCTGCCAGGTATCTGCGAGTCTTTGTGGTATTTCCGGGTATCCGCGGATACCAAGTAACCTGTGGCATCATAAGCATTAGTAATAAACGGCGGTTTTTCATAGGGCTGGAGCCTTATGTATTAGGTTCTAAATTTTTTTTGTTAAAAAAAAATTGGTACTGTAAGTTTTACACATCATTATCAAAATATATAATTTATAATGTGATAAAAACTTAATCGTTGAAATGTTAATTTTAAGTTATACGTAAGATTGTATATATGTACGTATACAAACAGGCATAACTGATAAGCTTAGCTTAATTTAATAATTCATAAACTTATAAACACAGCAATCTTTTGGAGATGTGAATTGTGAATTACAGTACATATAAATAAACTGTAGTTTATTTTAAAACTACGGTTTTACAATAAACTACAGTTTATTTATATTAACTAATAGTTTTTGGATTGCACCTCTACAATCTTTGCCTTTAAGCTAATTTCTATTATATACATGAACTTCGATTCATATGATAAATTGTAAGACATCATATATTAAGCATATAACGTGACAATAATTCGGAAGGTTGTTTATAAGACTGTCTTTTA